ACTCGGCTTCCCTGCCTCCGTCGTGGACGCCGTGGCTCATCATCTCGACGCCGAACCCGCATCCGGCACGCTGGCCCCCGTGCTGGCGCTGGCCACGCAGGTCGCCGCGTCCATCGAGGCCGGCGACAACGCGCAGCGCGCACTGCACAAGCTGGACGTCAGCCTGGTGACGGCCGCCTCGCTGGTGGCCGAGAACCTGGACGAGCGCTTCGGCCCGCAGTACGAGCAGATCGCCGCAGGAGGCGAGGCGTGAGCATAGGCAGCGCCACGCAGCGTGCGGCTGGGGCCGTGGCTGGCGGCTTCGCGCTGTCCGCCATAGGCAACTTCTGGCTGCTGCACGGCGCGCTGACGTCGACCCAGCTCGGCTGGCTGCTCGTCATCCACGGCGTGGCGGCCGTGGCCACCGGCGTGGCGCTGCTGTTCATCTCGCGCTGGTGGCTGCGCGGTGGCAAGCCGCTGATGGCGCAGCTGGACGCCGCAGGGCAGGGCCGCATCGCCGAGCGCGTGCAGGACGGTCCCATCGAGTGGTCGCCGATGTCGCGCGTCATCAACGTCGCGCTGACGCGCATCAAGGCGCAGCTCGACGACCGCGACCACCGCCTGGGCGTGCTGCACGCCGAGATCTCGGTCGACCCGGTCACCGGCCTGGCGGCGCGCGCGCAGTTCATGGACCGCCTGGCCACGCTGCTGCATGACCCCGACAAGGAAGCCATCGGCGGCATGGTGCTGTTGCGCATCGACGACCTCGCCGGCCTGAATCAGCGCGCCGGCCGAGAGCGTGCGGACGAGCTGCTCAAGCAGGTGGCCACGCTGCTGCGCACGCGCGCGCTGCGGCTGGACGAAGCCGGCGGCACCGTCGCGCGGCTGAACGGCGCGGACTTCGCCGTCATGGTGCCGCGCGTGGACACCGAGACGCTGGACGCCTGGACGCGCGAGCTGGCCGACGCGCTGCACGGCCTCAAGCAGCGCGAACTGACCGACCGGCCGCGCGTGGGCTGGCTGGCGGCCAGCGTCTTCCAGAGCGGTGAGACGATCGGCGCGGTGATGTCGCGCGTGGACCGCGGCCTGCAGTCCAGCGAAGGCAACGACGCCGCCTGGCTGATGGTGCGCGCCACGCGCACCGGCCCGACGGTGTCGCTGGCGCAGTGGCGCAGCCTCATCGACGAGGCACTGCTGACCGGCCGCGTCGACCTGAGCCTGGCGCCCGTGGCCGGCGCGGACGGCGCCGTCACGCACCAGCTCGCCCGGGTGCGGCTGGAGAGTGCCGAGGGCCGCTTCTTCGGCCCCGACGACGTGCTGCCCGCCGCGTTGCGCACCGCGCGCATCGCCGACATCGACCTGCGCGTGGCCGAGCTGGCGCTGGCCCGCATCGCCGGCCACAACGCCACGAACGAAGAGGTCGCCGTGCGCATCTCGCCGCGCTCGGCCGAGCGGCCGACTTTCGTCAGCCGGCTCGACGAGGCCTTGGCCGGCGTCGGCCCGCTGGCGCAGCGGCTGTGGGTGGAGTTCGAGATCGACGGCGAGCGCAACGTGGTGGGCACGCTGGGCCCGCTGACCACGATGCTGCAGCGCCACGGCGCGCACATCGGCATCCGGCGCGTCGTGTCGCCGCCGGAAGACCTGGCGCTGCTGCGCCGCCTGGGCGTGGG